GTCTCTATAATGCACGTTCAAGAGTGAAATATCGTTTGGCCCTGTTGACTGATATCGAAAAAAATCCTTGATCACTGAGAAGTTCTCTTGACTTTTGCGTATGATACTTGGCAAAATTTTCGCCCACAATTCTGAATTCGCCCCTTCTTGCCCTGTGGTTAATCCGGCCCTGCATTTTGCATAAAACCATATAAAACAATGTTCATAATTCCTGAGAGCATCGATCAACAACACCCACAGCAAGCTATATTTGTCATATATGCAATCATGATTTGAAAAAATTACGTGCGAGAATATTCAGAAAATATGAAACGATATGTGAAAATCATACCCGCCTTTATCAAGTCACATATCAGCTATTTTCGACGTATTCTCGTAACCTCTTATTATGATAATAGGAGTTCAAGTCATAGAATATCATATGGAAGAATAATGATACAGTGCGATTCAAAAACTTCCAGCAAATTTCAAATTTTGAACAAGTTAAGTTACATATATCATGAACGGCAATTTTTTTCATAAACAAATGTGAAAAATATGAGAGCTTTGTCATCATGAATTTTCTTTTGAATGAGACCAAAATCCTTGAATCGCTATATACCTGAACAAAAAAATTCTTATTCGACAACAAAACTCGATCCGGTTTTTTTTTTGGCAACCTTATATATATTCTAATGACAGAAGTAGTACGTTTTCCGAAAATTGCAGGCTCAATTTTTTTTAACTTTGTACGGAGTTTTGCAAACGTGAAGTGAAATCTGAAGAGTTTTTCCAAATGCTGCTTCGAGGAACAATTTCCACAGAATTTGTTATCTTATTTTTGTCAATAAAAAATCCTCTATGCCTCACAGAGAAAAAACTAACAGTTCCTTGATTTCTCGCAATTCAATTTCTCTCTCGTATCGAAAACAAAAATTCATATGCATTTATCAAGGGGAAGCTTTCGTGACTGTTCTATAATTATATTCTTGGAAATATTAGTGGGATGCAGTCTGGACCAATGAATTAATTAAATTTCTTCGTTATTTGTCGAGCTTTCGAAAATTTTTATTTTCTTTATCAAGACTAACTGAAAACATCGAATGGAACAATATATAGAAAACATGAAAAGTTTATACTCAAATTATCTATCATTCCTCATTCAATTCTTTCACGATTGCCATCTCTGATATTGTTAGAGGAGATTACGCAATATTTCTCATTCAATCTGATAATGATCAATCCCGCTCTACTAAGATGCTTTGAATAATAATTTATCATTCAAATTCATCAAATTGTTATCGACAGACATGATGGGTTGTTAAATATTCAATACATTTCACTTGCTCAAATCAAGTTGCCTATAGAATTGTCATGTTCGTTTTAGAGTACCTATATCTACTTGATGTGAAAGTATCCCACGTTTATTTGGTTTGTCTACAGTAATTACACAAGTGGTGCATGGTAGTTATTTGATAATTTCAACTAGATAAACGAAGATCCGACCGTGAAAACACTATCGCTGTAATTTGCTACTAACATTATCAGTTTATGATATACCGAATGATTGGCTACAATTAGGCATTGATATTGGTTGAAACAACTAAAACGTCACATTATTTTGACATGTGGAAAAAATAATCGAGGGTATAATACACCACGAGTACTTCAAATTTTATGGGTTTTTTAATTTTCTGCGAAAAACGAATTGGGATTCGTGAGTTTATCAATCGGCTTGTTTTCATATTCTTACCTCAAATGGAATAGTTTAATTGATGAAAATAAAAGATTGTCGGATAAAATTTGAGGGATGTAGCGGGTCAACTGGGCTGCCCTCTGCGTGCGAGAAGTTTGAGTACAACGTTCCGCATTCCTAGCCATGCTATAGTACCAGAGCGAGGGCACAGGATGGCACGGGCCGTAGTCAATCCCCTCTACCTCGATGCTGACGTCACACTAGTAGGTTGAGATTTCACATCATTTCATATCGGTGCGTTATTCGTACTTGAAAGGTTATAGCTCATTTAATTTAAAAATTAGAAGCACACTCAATCGAGACTAATTGATCCCTGATGAAACTACCCAACTTTCAGTAAAAAAATAAATTCATTAGGATGAACCAGTACCGGTTAATGAAAATCAGGACGTTGTGTACCACGGAATACTATTTTTTGCCGATTGGGAATCGATTTAAAATGAAACGGACTATGTCAAACTAGGATAATGTATTAATTGAATAGTGAGAAAATTATTGAGCTACCTACAATGAGTCCGAAATATATTAGAAATAAAGAGCGCGTAAAAGTTTGTCAAGTATATGATACCTACCTAATTTCCCCGTATTAACGAGTTCGCGGTAATTCCCTATAGGTAAAGGGCAATGCACGTTTTATTATTTAATTAGGTATTACATATGAAATATAGCGGGATTCAGTAAAATAATAAGAAAAGAAGAATCATCAGAATTTCCGGATGAATATGAAGCTTCAAGCCCATTTTTTTGGTTTGTGATATATATATATATATATTTTGTTATAACTACAAGTTATTATGTAATATCTGGCTATTTTTTCTCTTTTATTATGTTGAATATTTTCAGAATGGCTTTCGTTTAGTATTGTGTATGAGATCAACTTATTTTTTGTTCTTTTAAATTTTCATATTTAGAAAATGTTTTCAAATCAATTTATTATTATTTTCACATTTCACATTTTCATTATCAAATTCGTGTTTTTCAGACAAAAATACGTGAGAACAAAAAAAAAATTTCGAAAAAAAACCATCGCATGATAAATGCAGTTTTACCTTTTCAAGTAGAGTGTTTGTAGTACATGTTAATATGGTAGTTGCAATATGATCATTGGACTGAATTCTGCATTCATTGCCACGAGGCAAATGACCGTTTTCACAAAGAAATTTGAGAATGTATTTAGTTAAAAATGCTCGTTTATAATGAACATTCAAGAAAGTTTCCTCGAATTCAGAGATGATCTTGTTGAATATAAATATACGAATACAAAACTAACTGCACAATCAAAGCTTTTCTCTTTTTCATCTACTCATACTTTTTATGAGAGAGTAATTGTCTTCTATTATTAATTCATCATTATAAATTAAGCTCTGTTTACTACTGTACTTAGATGGAGTAAAATCCTCGCGGTGAATTGCATATACCCACTTTTTCGATAGTTCCTCGTCCAACGGGAAACTAAAAGCATGAACTTTTAGACCAACCACATAATTCCCCCGACGAAAGGGAACACAACGCTTGAAAGGCATTATCGTTATTTCGCCTATCACAACACAAAATATTTCACAAAACATTAATTTTTCCGCCAATTATTTTGATGAATAAACAACAAAAGAATTCTGGACCGCTTCAAAAACATACGTGAATCACCGATGAATTAACACGAAATGACGCGTTAGTCGATAAGCGGTAAAACAATGGCCTCTCTTAGGTGACGTCACGAGCTGTTTACGTCAGAGTCTGCTGGCCTTCTAATCTCGATGGTAACGGTGAGATAGAGTAGGCCCTGTATAGTATCCCTGTGCCCGCATGGGTTGTTGAAATGTTACGGGTTCGCTGGTGCGTCGTAGGATGTCGCTACCTAACCCTCTCGGTACCACCTGGTTTTGTGACTCTCCAGTAAGAAGTTGAAATTCGTTAGCTTCCCCATTGTGGTATCTTGAGAGATTCGAGAAGTGTTGTTCGATAAAATAGTGGAATACCGTCAAGGGAATCAACCAAGGCAAAACTGCCTGGGAAATAAAACGCGAGTATTTTCAATCAATCAACTTTATTATATAATACCTACTAACCTAAAGCTGTGTAGCTACAGATCAGTATTTCTGGATACTCTGGATAGTCAAGACTAGTCTAGAGCAGTCTAGTGTGTTAATTGAATGGTCGTTTGTACAAAAAACACGTTCCTTATCTCAATTCCTGAAAACCAGGAGTAACTACTCAAATTCTATTATTTTCATACATCATTTCCCATAGTTCGTTGAAGTTTCACAAATGTTGAGATTTCTTGAATTCAATGTAGCAAAAGCCAAGAACATATTAGAGTTATTATTATTCTATGAAATGTGATTATTATTTCACTTGGGACATCATCGTGAAATTTATACCTCCAAAAATATATTCATACCTGCTAATGAAGTTCACTGGACGCTCGAAGATAACCATGGGTTATCTATCAAATAATTTTTAATATTATATGTATATAAGCAGCATAATAACCAGAGACTAGTTCACCCAAAAGCACTGAAAGACAATTTGCCATTGGAATATCCTATGCTCTTACTCCCAATCATCAAGCAGCTATACTAAATATTTGGCGATATAATATTATGGACATAATAGAATTTTTTAATTCATACAATAATATGAAGTAAATTCAGGTGGATAATTTCCACACCCAGCGCAATGGTTATTATGTAGTGCAACTCGAACTGAAATTTACTGAGTGTGGTATTTTTATCATCCCAATTCATGAATGGTAATTCGCTCGTAATCCAACACTTCCGAATGCAGTTCATTACCCTATCTATGTCAGTTGATAGTACTAGTAATGCAGTGATAAACTCAACCACCGTTTCAACTGGAGAAAATGGTGAATTAAAGAGAACTCGGCGATGATATTGAACGGAATAGTTAGTTTAAATTGCCATAATATTATAGGAAACAATAAAATGCAGAAAGTTTACTTATTACTTCACTTAAATATAAATTTATTTCGGTTATTTTCATTACCCGATGTCCGGAATTGTTAAGTTAATCAGTTTTATCAGCAATGTCATGTACATTGGCCTTCTTTTTGTTTTGTACTTTCTGCATGTATTGTTTGTGTCCATACCGAAAATTATAATTATTTTTTATATAAAAAGCATCAGAAGGTGCATGTGCTAATTGCCAAATTGAATCGAAATATATTTCACCAACGACAAACCTTCTGTCCTCTAGAACGCACCATATATTTTGAAACCTTCTCATTGCAGGAATAAAAAAAAGTTTTCTAGAAGTAATTTTATTACAATTATACCTATACTTTTGATTACAGTATTAATATATCATCAAATTACTATCTAATAATAGGTATATAAAGAAGTAGGTACTGTGATCATATTATAAGGTGAACTGCGACACTTGATGAGCTTCATGACATAAAGAGTAAGTTTGATGATTGTGAAGAACAATGAATGAATAAATAAAAACTATGTATTATAAGTTCCCTGATATTTCGAATCAACTCTGTAGTATACAGCAAAGCAATATGCATTTTTATGTACTGATCAATCGACTTCCTAAGTTAATATCACCAACAATCTTTGACAAACTGTTCAAATGGGATTCACCCAGTGTGAGTTTCTCGTTCAATCTGGCTGCAAGAATTTGAGCTTCCGGAAAACCACTGTCCGAACAATACTGTATGCAGGCCTAAAAACAAGTTGGATGCATTTTCTGGAATTTTTTAGGCATGTGCTATCATAGAAAATATTGAAACCCGAAAAAGCTCCTGAAATGCACACATTACCTATTTAGAATGAAAAATGTAACATAATAGGTACACGATATCTATAAAGTTTACGCAAAACTCCCGGCAATGTCAATTACTCTTAGAAATACAGATGGAACACATACTCAGATAGAAATCTATCATTTAAAATCAAGAGCACTAGTTTTTTGGGGAAATGACGATCGTACGTCACGAGTTTGACAAATATTAGGCCAACTGATCCTTTTTCACAGTCATTAAGTATATTATGGAAAACCCTATCAATTATATCTTTGCAGTCCTGTTATGTCGACTTTGGTAGAACTGAGTATTCCGGAAATCGTGATGATAATACCTATTGAAAATAATAAAATGGTCAACTTAATATTCCTTGAGATATTGGCTCGGTTCAGAGAATGCGACTTCATGATTCATAAACTATACAAAACATACCTATATTATTTTGCAGTTTCCATTCTGATGGTCTGTACGCATAAAGTAAATATTTGGTAGAAGTATATCGTTACTCGAAGTCAAATGAAGTAGTAGGTTATTACCAAATGAGACTACACGAACGCTCAATATGAAAAACATTAGAGAAACAAGTACATGTGTATAAGAGTAATATTCCAACCATCAGCGATTTCTTTTAGCTTCTCTAAACCATCTTATCCCAATTTTTGGGCTCATCTCGATACAGCGTTGAATAAAAGCTAGTAGCGTAATCGACTGGATTGCAATGACACGGTATAGATGCGTATTTGGCGCTGCACTGACTTCGGACAGAATTCGTTTAGGTCGAATCCATCTAGAGCAGATGCATATAGATAATGCGAATTATTCTTATGCATATTCGACTGGTATGTTTGGTGAATCCTAAGGCTGGATCAAGCTAGATCTAACCGAAGATCTAACTTCAAACTCGACAAACCTTCAAAATATTTCTTGAATGTCGAAGTATGGAGAGAATAATTATTTGCGGCATAAGTATGGAGACATTTTGTAAATAATTATGTATAATTCAAGTTTGTCATTTACCACAAATACCTTGTATCATTAGAGTCTTAACATAGCAACGCATCTAATAATTCCGCGCGGCTCGCTAGAGGTGAGCATATAAATTTGTTTTGTACATAAGTTCGCCAGAAATGCAATGCTAAATAGAACTACGTATGTGTCTATGGGGGAAAAGTCCCGGGATCGAATCCTACTCTACCTACTTTTTGTTCTTTTTTTTTAATGATTAATTATTGAAAAAAATACTGTGGCCGAAAGTAATTCGCTATTTCAATGATGTTTTTTTTTTCATGATCTAGGTTTTATATTATTTGAAGAAAGTAAAGTCCCCTTTCTTTTGCAAAGAGGGTGTTTTCTGAAAAATATACTCTCTGGAAAGGAAGGTTCATTTGAATCGAGTAATGTTAGATTGTTCAAAAAAATAGTCTCCTTTCTTATGCAGAAATGGTATTTTCCACGCTCAAACGGTCCGAAATTATATGATGTGGGGTGCTATGTTCGCTAGAGTCCTGGTATTCCAATAGTTTATTGAGATGTCTGTGTTTCATTAATTTCTTCTTTCCTATACTTGAACCTACTTCGATTTTGTGAAATCAGATAATTACAGTATCATTATTGCTATCGACTTGGTTACTATCACTGATGCTCGAAAATAGGGAATCAATAACAAATAAATTTATTACATCCATTTTGAAATGTGAACATAACAATGTAAGTAAATGCCCACTTAAGATCGTGACACAATGCGAAAAAATAAGGAACAAAAAATATACAAAAAAAAATTCAGAACGGGAAAAAAAAAATAATAATCCCCACACATCTGGCTATATCTTGGAATACACAATACATCATGAAGAAAAAAAATATTTCCGTACATGACGGAATTTTTAATCCATAACAATCTATACTCTCAATATAACACATTATAAGAGCAGTAACCTATCACTATTCATGATGATAATGAGTTTTGCTTCATAAATAGGTATCTACTCGAAAATACTCAGAAAAAAAACACAAAATATCAAAAATGATAATGGCATCAAACGTCATTTGCAAGCTGTTTATTGGCCAATAATTAACTCTATTCCTGCTTCATTTCATCCATTCTGTTTTGAAAAAGAATAACATCTATATTCTTCATTCCTTATCCCCTGTTCTTCACTTTCAGAATTTCCCAGTCCATGACTTTGGCACCGTCAAAAATTTTTGTATGAAAACATTCGAATTAACGAGCGCTTTCACCAGTCGAACAAGAATTCTGCTCTACCCTTGAGTAGTGTCTGTTCAGCCGAATTGAAATAATATTGGTACTTTCTGACTGCATACCAGCCGAACACACACGCATGACCAAAATTAAAATTAAATGCGTCCTAGTGCAGCCAGTCAAATATGCTACTAATGAAAAGACAAATGTCAGATACAAGAAATTCATTACACTTTGTACTATATGAATACTTCAAAAGAGAAATCACACAGATTATGCAAAAAAAAACTTTGTGAAGAAAAAACGATTTATCATATTGTATGAGTAAAATAGAATACAGTATCATGTTTTGATCGTTTTTTTATGACAAAAAGGTCAAAAATTCCATTGAAATATTAAAATCGTTTTCCTAAAAAATCACAATATCTAATATAAGCTTACCCGACGATATACCTATTATACAGACTGACTCATAAAAAAACGTTGATTATATCATGTTTGACACAAGTAATGAATGACTAATCCCGAATATAATTGAATGAATTTGGGTGACTTTACAAAAACCGTTAGCATTTAAGATTTAACATTTCAACTTAAGAGTCTTAAGTAGATTCAGTTATAAAAAAATAAGATTATAGGGTGATAAAATATGTCTTCTGTCATTACTGACATCTAGTTTTTGAAACAGAACCAGGATTTTCAAAGTTCATAGTAAGTTGGAAATCTAACAAATACCTCACAACATGACATAGGTACTCAGTATACCTATATGTGAATACTGTCTCTGGATTCGTCCTGTTTGTATTCCTGTTTGTGAAAATAAATAAATAAATATGATTAAATTTCATGTTCTGGTATCATTTTATTTATTTATATTCCTAAAATGATAACCACATCCATTATATCTCCACATTATATTGAGAGTTATCACTACTCCTTGCATAACAGAAACTGGCTCACTGCTTGGATCTTTTGCCAAATATGGAAGCATCAGAGTTAAGAGGACATATCAGTGTATTTTTGGAGAACGGTTCAATATCCATATTTTCTATCAGAAGAGAAACAAATATTCAGGAATAACAACCCAAGATATTTGAATAATTTTTGAATGGCGGGAAATTGAGATGTCACTTCTGGATGCGCACTCCTTATTCCATTCATGATCATTTATCAGCACTTCTCAACTTGGAAGTTGGCCATCTTCTTGCATCTTAAATGTAAAATCATATGTCTTAAAGATTTTATAACATAACCAATTGAATTTCCATGCTCCATCTGTCATAAGTGATAACCCTCAAATGTAAGGTGATACATCTTAAGTCTTAAAGTTTTTATAAAGTTGCCCTCAGTCAATGGGTTATTCAAAATGCATACTTACCACTGCTCTGCTGGGTGCTTTATTCTCAATACAGTGATCCACAAACATAGAGAGAGCCTCATATTTTGGTACCCCTACAACGGTATTATGTCCTTTATCGAGCTTATCCATTATAGTGCAAGCCTTTTCATATTCATTATTTCTCAATAAAAGAATCATGGCAAGTCCAAGAAGATCTCCAGTTAAACTGAAACAGTTGAACATTTTGATGACACATAGGACTGAAATACTGATGTAAACCCAAATTATTTGATAATGCCATCACGTGGCCAAATTTTACTACCGGAATCGCTTCTTATAGAAAGATATCTCATGCTCTGACCACAGTATATTATCCTTTCACGAGACAGTAGCACAGTATATTATCCTTCCACTCCCACAGAAATCTTGCAAGCGTCCCCATTTCTGCATTGAAACTCGCGGTCGATGCGCAGTAGCATAGTCGAGCCTGACAAATGTCAGTTCCAGATTATAAAGGATAATATAATGTGCGGGAAATCAAAATTAGATAAGGTTTGTTCTCGTTCAAGAAATAAAGAGTTCGAAACCATCGGAAGTATACGCAGTTCCACTGAACATGAAAAATGTCAATAGTTCTGTGAACCCGCGAATGCTTCCGATGATTTCTGACTATTTTTATTTTAGAACGGGAACAAACGTGGATGCATTCTCGAAACAAGTGGAATTTTTTGCAAGCGCCTAGCGGCACCACATCCCTGTAACTCCTATTATTCCGAAGACACCCGATCATCGCCGCACCACTCGCTGCTGATGCGAGCACGCGTCAGATTAAAAACATAATAATTTCATGAGAAGGTAGTAAGTTATCAAGTTGAAACTTCTGAAGAATGACTAAATGGTCTTTTTTCAAATTTGACCTTCAAGAACAGCTTTTTCAGTTCTGTATACTGGGTGACACAGACTTATATGGTATACCTCCCTTTTCTCGTCCGTTTTTCTAGCTATATTTATGAAATTTAAAACTTCCAATGTGCTCACTAAAGGGCACTTTCTCACATGATTTTTTTTCATTTCCCGGTTTTCTTGGAAATATTTCATTCCATAATCGGTTAGAGATTATTATGACGAATTCAACGATACCGGGTTTGATTGAGTTATTTCAAACGATTATGAAGATATTCGCGTTAAAATTCTCCATATGCTCAATGGGTGTGACAGAGAAGGAAGTTTCGATATCACGACGTCACACCCATTGAGCATATGGAATCTTCAAACGCAAATATCTTCGTAATCGTTTGAAATAATTATCAAATCCGGTATCGTTAAATCCATTATGATAATCCCTTACTGAATATGGAATAAAATGCAGGGTGTGTCATTTGAAAATCGAAAGTTGTTGTCATTTCCAGGAAAACGAGAAGGAAAAAAATCCTGAAATATCGATTTACGATAATCGATATTATCAATATTCTTGATATTACCGATGTTATCGATATTATCGATATTTTTTTATTAATTATCGATATTATCGATATCGTCGAATTTTTTTTTTTTTTTTCATTACTTACCGCTAATACTTGTAATTGGGACGTACGAAAGGAAACATTGGGCGAGTTATGGGTAGAAGACAACTATATATACTACATTCCAAATAAGAATATATCAGGTGGCGCATCTTTTGAAAGAATATTTAGACGGACTAAATGAATATTTGACGCCAAATCAAAAATCATGGTGAAATTTTGATGTTTGAATTAACTTTTATTATTGGAACATAAAAAAATTTGACAAATAATCGGAATATTATGATGCTTGTGACCATCTTTCCAAAAGTAAACTTTAATCTTCATGACCCGTTATAAGTCATAATATTGTAATATTACCTTCAACATTTACCAATAAAAGCGAAGGTCAACGCTGTCTTCTTAGTTGGAATGGACAATAGGAGTGGGCGATAACAATAATTATAAATCAACGGAAAGTACGAAAATTATCGAAAATCACCGATATTATCGAATTATCGATAGTATCGATTATCGAATTATCGATGGTATCAATATTATCGATATCATCGATAACTCCATAATTTTCATCAGAACTATTTTCGATATCATCGATAGTTATCGATAATTATCGATATATCGATAAATTTGCCCACCCCTACCCTCTAGTGAGCATATTCGATGTTCCAAATTCTAGAAATATTACTATAAAAACAAAGGAGAAACAGGGGTATACCATGAGTCTGTGGGTATAGGTTTATGTTGAATAATTTTTTTCTAATGAGGTATTCTACAAGGTATCAATGAATCTTGGCTATACAGATAAAATTGATTAGGTAATGAAGTTTTTTTTTATTTCAATACATTGGTTTCTCCTTTCCCTTTACCAATTGTTAAGTACCTGACTAATAAGTATATTGTATGTACTTACTAACGTGATAAAATGTACATGTCGTCTCGAATTGTACACGTTTCATAACAAATTATGACAAATAAAACAACAAGTCTTTTTTGCAATTTTCACTCTCAAATTCAGTAATAGAGCAGAACAAAAATATCAAAACAATCAAAGTAATCTAAGAATCAATTCGGCCTAACCATACCAATGATACCTACACGTACAACTGACAGTAATGAAAAAAACGCGCGCGAGAATCGAAAGCGCAGACGATTGAGATTGAGACGATATAATGCGCATGCGGAATTCTGGGAGCCACAGGGGAATGGTGCAGCTAGACGCTTGTGAATCATGAATAGTGAATACGGACAGATTACGTTCACGTACAAAATGATGACTTCAGGAGTTCCAAATTTGTCAACAGAATAGTTAGGAATTATTTGAGCAGTGAAATATTTTTCATTTCATTTATTTTCAGTCACAAAGAAATACAATACAGTGAAGTTACTATACAGGGTGTTTCGAAATTAGCCTGCCAAACTTCACCAGCGGCTTCTTCGACCAAAAATTGGAAGAAAAGTTCCAATGAACATGAGTCGAGAAATGTTTCCTAAGGGGGGCGTAGCTCCCCTGAAAGGGGGCGGTGAACATAAAATCATTTCAGTGTTTCATTCAGGAATGTATGATACAGGGTGGGACTACATTAAATATTGCTCAAACTTTTTCGTATGCATATTTTTTGACAATATGATCTCGGATTATGAAAATCCACACTGTTTCACAGAAAAAATATGCACTTGTTCCGCATCGATCAGATGTATCATTTTCGAGTGAAATCGATTTAAAAATATTGATGCACTCACATCTTATGCATAACGTTGCCAATTTTCAAGTCATAGTGACTATATAAAAATCAAGTCCTTTACTTTTACCATACAATCTCATGAGAGCGCAAAAAATAGAAAAATGATGATGAAATAACTACTCCAATTTTTGTGCATTTTTTTTGCTATTTCCACAATGCTTCATTTCAATGTTATGCATAATATCTGAGATGTAACAATATTTTGAAATTGCTTTTACTCGATAATAATACATCTGATCATCACGAAAAAGAGTATCTTTTTTATCTAAAGAGGTGCGAAATTTCCTAATCCGAGATTAAATTGTCGAAAAATATGCATACAAAGAATTTTGAGCAATATTTAATGTAGTTCCACCCTGTATTATACACTCCTGATTGAAATTTTGAGATGATTTAAGTTTCACTGCATTGGGCATGGAAAGTTTAGTTCTTGTACCAAATTGCATCTTGTTATGACATGGAGTTTCGGAAATACTTAAGAATATCATCTTCAGGAGCCCCCTTTCAGGGGGCAATAGCTCCTTTAGGAGACATTTCTCGACTTATGTTCATTGAAAGTTTTCTTTTTATTTTTGGCAGTAAAAGCCGCTGGTGAAGTTCGGCAGGCTAATTTCGGGACACCCTGTATAGTTCACGAATGTGACAATGTCACTATATAAAACAGTTAAACATGTCTCTTAAAAAATAATTGTAAATCACTATAAAAATATGTCAAGGAATAGTAGGACTTACTCAACAGAAGATGTTTCATCCCTTTTTTGATTTAGGAAGAGCATTGAACAATGTACAGTGTGTCCAGTTTTCGATGGTTTTGCATGATATCTCAGTTATCTTTGGAGATTTTTGTGAAACTCAAGATGGCCTAATCAGATTTTGCAGGACTGTTTCCGTTTATGAGATAAAGGACGATTTTGAAAATTAATACTTTTTGGACCCCCTCTAAATCTACGAAGTTTATCAACAAAAATGTCAAATTAAAATCTTAACCCATGGAGAATTTTATGCAGAATCCAGTGGCGCACAAAATTTTTTTTTCTGGGTGTGGTTTTGGAAATACAACTCAAACTTAAGATTCTTTAAATTGAACACCCTGTATTTTATAAGCTCATTGAATTCCTTATTTTTTTCCTTCGAAATGATATATGATGTATGAATATAACATCTTCAAAAATGTTAAAAAATCACTAAAACATAGAATTTTAATAGTGGGCTATGGGTTTTTCGAGGGATTTTCATATAAAGAAATTTACAATTGAAGGAATATTCCCTTTGATTGTTCCATGAAGAGGGAAATAACAATTTCAACACTAATTAACTTTCAATACACAAGACTCAGATACCTGATATCCACAAATATATAGTAATGAAAAGTTTATAATGTAGAATAAGCACCTGATTGAATATTTACTAAAACAATTGAATTTCGAAATTATTCAGTGATTTATTCATTGAATTGTTCAAATTGATGTCCATTCTCAATCACAAACTTTCTCAATACATATTAATCATTGAAAGATGTCTTTGTAATTCCTGGAAAACTGCCTCTGTTGTTGCACAAAGTTCTTCAAGTATGTTGGGCCACTCACTGTATTAAGAAGTATTAAGAAAGTTTGTCAACTGTATGTTAGGGAAATGGATATCAGTTTGAACATATCAAAGAATAAGTTACTGAATAATTCCGAAATTCAATTGTATCAGTAAATATTTAATCAGGTGCTTATTCTACATTATGAACTTTGTATTACTATTCATTTGTTGCTATCAGGTACCCAAGTTTAGTATTTTGTTAATTAATAAGTGTTGATATTGGTTTTGACCTCTCCATGGAAAAATATAAAGAAATATTTCTTCAAATGGAACGTTTTTCATGAGAAAAATCCATAACCAACTCTCAAAATTTAATATTTTAGTGATTTTGAGCAATTTAGAAAATTTTATATTCATTCGTTATATATCATTTTGAAGACAGAAAAATAAGGAATTTAATGAGCTTATGAAATACAGGGTGTTCCATTTACAAAATCATAAGTTTGAGTCGTATCTCCAAAACCATATACCCCGAAAAAAAAAATTAAGTGCGCCACTGAATTATGCGTGAAATTTTCTATGCGATGAGATTTTGATTTGACATTTTTGTTGAGAAACTTCGTGGATATAGAGGGGGTCCAAAAAGTATAAATTTTCAAAATCGCCCTGTATCTTATAAACGGAAACAGTCTTGCAAAATCTGATTAGGCCATCTCGAGTTTCACGAAAAAGTAGCACAGGACTGCGAAAACCACAAGGTTCTATCTCCAAAGATAACTGAGATATCAGGCAAAAGCATCGAAAACTGGACACACTGTACAGTCATTATCATACATACCTCTTTGATATAGGATAGATGAATGTTTTGAAGGTTAGCAATCTGTTTCTCATTATTGTTCCATAAGTATGTTGTACCATTACAGATTCATGGTAATGTTTTTGAAAACGAAACAAACAACTTCATAAATATATACAGAAATCGTTCTTGAAATTGACAGGGTTTTGATATAGGGTCCACTTTTTAGGAAAGCTGAAAGGCTTTGTCTTATGCACCAAGATTAAGACAATGGAAAACAATCAGGAATACGCAATTATTTGTTTCTCTCAAATCAGATCCGTCCCTGGTGATGATTATAGGTACTTGATATCAATAATTTTCCTGGGATATGTGACTAAAGACGTCTGCTTCAAGAAAGTTCATCAGGATAATGGTTCAAGTTATCCAGGGGAAATATTTTTCCGTGAGTCACTTTTATTCGGAGATTATCGCAACCACTAAGTTGTTGGTCGGCAAGTTGAAATTAATTCAAATTCCATTTGGATATGTTGAATATTCAGTTTTTCATGATGTTTTTCAAAAATATGAGACTTCCACAAATATGAGTCATCAAAAAATGTTACATTCAAGTGTGAAATGCTTGCACACATATATCCCATCAAGTAGGTTATCTTAGTTTTATTTGTATTTTGTCTATTGAAACTCTCCAATGCACCTATTTATTGAATGAATTTACGAGAACTGATTAATCGGTATAAGTTCAATCGATTTGAAATACTGCTAAATCTCATAACTAAGAGATCTAGGATGAACAGTTAGTAGTAGTTATGAGATTTAGCAGTTGAATAGGTGGTGGAAAAATTCCACTCAAGTATGTCAGGTAGTGCCATCTGTCAGCAGAGTGATTTACTTGTAGTACCACTCTGTAGCGTATAGACGTAGGGGTCTGTACGTGTGACTATAGGTGGCAGCGCCATACAGTGTATGTCGCGATATCTCTGTATCCTACCTCAGAACTTTGCCACAAGATGGCTACAACATGTCTACAACTTCATGTTATACCCTGCGATTTGAAATATTTTAAGTAGTGTAACACTTCCCGATTAACTATAAAGTAAGAAAGAACTGCCTCATTCCAAATGGAACACCCAATATATCTCTAGTAGTTATTATTGAACAAATCATTTCAACCAGACTTAGCCCATTTGTCCATGAATATAAAATTAAAAACAAAAGTGCATGTATATACCTACTAACCTCAATTTATTCGTCTTATTTTCATGCTGATTCTCAACTCTAGTGTGAATATCCCATGCGATATAAGAGAACCGCTCCACCAGCGTAGAATCCTTGTCAGGTTCATTATTGACCATGATGTTGAGTATATACTGGATCAGATTCTCTCTACCAGTATGGTCAAATATCGTCATATCAGACCACAACTTTGGTATGTATTCAATAGCTCCGTTCAGGTCTACTTGTTTCAGCACTTCATTCATCACACCAGGTTCCGGTACGTAGATATTCGGTACCAGAACTTCGTAAACTTGCGACATAAATTCTTCAAAAGGAATACTGGTCGCTAAGAGAGTGAAGTAGTGACGGCTGTAAAAATATTCACTTGTATTCTCTGCTCGAATTATTCCTAGATATTTTGATAGTATCTGAATTTTCACTCATAGTACCACTAGAGCTTCAATTATTACCGAATTTTTTTTCGAAAATACGAATTTTCTAAATATTCGTGTTCAAGAAAGAATGTTATCATTTCTCTAATTAATAATAATAAGTAAGTACTAAACTTCGATAAATATTATTAGGGCTTTGGGAATTTCAATTTTTTCTAATTCTCATCCTCGTAACAGAAGGTGAAAATTACCTCCGTGAAATGTCTCCACTATAGAAAATAAGAATGTCTCGATGAATGATTATGGCAGAAATAAAACTCCGTGATCAATTCGTATTAAATGTAATAATGGAAGCAATATTCTGTAATATGTTCGATTCTAACCTCGATAAATGTTTCAGATATAATTATAATATACTGAGCCCCGTAATAGTCCTCACCTCTGTTATTGCATCATTAAAATAATGAAGTAATGAAAATTCAGTATGGCGGATGTCAGTATCCAAAACACCTGTGAATGTTCAATGTTGATGTGTTTTGTGTTGTTTGCATGAAAAAGAGAAAATATACTCGTTCAAGATAGTATCTCACCTACGTTTGTATATCGTAAGATAAAAATTATTCATTTATTTTTCTCATTATCCTGTAGATAATTGACACACATCTATTCATTTATGATACATCATACATAGGTTTCATAACCCTAAAAACGTTTTCCTGTGTAACAGGAAACAAAAAAAAATCACCTCCGTGAACCTCACTTTTGTGAACATCTTTATTCGCGAAGACATTATTGATGTTATTTTCACAGGTACTTCGCTCAGAATGACATCAGCTGAAGAAAACAGTAAAAGCATTGAAGAAAACGAAAAATAGTCAAAGAAAGTATGCGAATACTACGATAAAATATTAGGAATAAGAATATTGAACTATCCTGAATATAATAAGCAGGAAGAATACGTTTTACCAGATGACAGTGATTTCTCAATTTTGTTCAATACATGTTGAAATATGCATCATAATGTATAAATTCAGTCATTACTTATCACCTCCATGAATGATGTCATTGATGTCTCACCTCCGTGAAATAGGTTTTCTCTTTTTTTGTATATTTTCGTTAATTTGAAATCAACTATCTCAGAGATGTACTTATAGGTAAGTTTAATATACCCGAAACAGAATAAACAATAAAATCTCCCAAAAAATTGTGTCCTTCAATATCGAAATTGAAATAGTATATTCATTCTGAGAATGACCCATTGAAGCTAGATTGGTATTCTATAAAAAAATTTTACACTGGAATATTATTCAAAAAATACTAGGATGAGATTACGCCGAATGAAATACAAAATACCGACTTTAGTTACGCAAAATATAATTAAGGCAGCTGGTGGTAGTTCACACCAGATTTTGTTGAGATATATTTTGTCACAAGGAACTTGAAGCAGTATTTAGTATTAACAAAATTCACATCGATAACATTGTTAGGTTGAATAAAACACAATTAACTTACTACAGTTACACAAAATAATAAAAAACAAGTCGATAGTTGCTCAATTTCTCAGTTTTACTGAAGTTGCTAGAAATATATTTTCTCAGAAGAAACTGGAAGTAGTATTTATAGTATCAATGAAATATGCTCACTTGATATTAGGTTAAATGAAATATAATTACCTTTATTAGTTGAATAAAATAAGACAATAGTAGCTCAATCTCTCAGTTTTTTTACAAACTCATAAAGCTAAAGTCAGTAGAAATATATTCTCTCACAAGGTACTTTACCAACCAACAGAATAAATTCGAAAAATATATCGAATGTAAATGTCAAAAAATTTCCGCTGTAATTTCATGCTCCTTATCCCAAAGCAAAAAATTCTAGTTGCTATGATAACGATACAAAATACAGGTTTTCAAGATTGTTATCCAAATTTTGAGGTGAAGAATTATTTTCATAATATTATTTATCAATATGGTATTCACTTGCATCTCTCTATAAACCAATAGATGATAATCATACTCACTAATATATAGATTCCTTGAAGGAATCCCCAATCAAATCATAATTATTCCCAACATGAAGTAACCTATCCACCCTTTTACCCAGATTTACATCCCTCAGATGATTTCTGCATACATCCATAGCAGTGACAAAGAAGTTTGTATCACTGGGATCAAAAATTGTATGTTCTTTATTTTCCACTTGCGCCATTATATCATGTAATATAGTACTTGTAGGTCCCCCTACAAATTTCAGAAACAAAAAGTAGGTTATAGCCTTATGGAAGTCAGTTGAAGCAACTACAGCAAAATATACGCCGCGTGCGGTCGGTCCGTATGAAGTTCAAATGGACCAAGTGCATGTTGCGGACATTCCTTGCTCAAGCTACTCCAATTGACTTGACTCCATAATTCCGTGCAGATATCTTGACAACACTATTAGATGGTTCACTGACTGAAAAATATGAAGAATGAGAAGAACAATAATTAATGAGAACACACCGAAAGTTGCGCTATTTCAGATCTCCAATATGTAAAGAAATTCACAATATCTCCAACCGTTTCAGAAATTCCTGCAGTATCTGAAAAACTTCGATTTCAATATTTTCCATAATTTCTTCAATATTCAAGCTATCAGTTTTATATTTGGTATTTCGATATTCTTTGACATGACAAGTTTATTGATGATACTTCTACTCTCCTACTAGTTTTGCCATATTGGATTTAATCATTTGCTGTATAACAGTGTAGTACACTTATATCATTTTCTCACAAAGTTATGGTGAAAGAAGATGGAAAAAAATCAATATCACTGTCAAAATCTATGAATCTCTGAAAACAGTAGATCTGAGGACAAAATAGTGAAGCTGTCACTAATTCACGTCATTTATCACGCCATATGACATCAACTCCTGACGTCACCTTGGTCATTCAACTGACGTTTTAAGACGTCAGTGGAACGTCATCTGGTTGCCTGGGGATACACACAATAAATAAGTCGAATTGTTGAAGTGGCATGTAATGAAATAACGTGAATTTCAATAATTATTTGAAAAATTAGAGCTCTCAGGAGAAAATGGTTTGTGACAGTGAACATGTTTGGGTTAGTAATTCCAAATAATTGAAAAAAATGTCACCAAATTGGCCCATTGTGTAGGAATTGTGAGTCATTGTCATAGTCATATTCATTGATCCATTTGATCACAGAGTACATGATATAGGACAAGTCAACATTTTATAATAGGAACAAAAATAACATCACTTGACAGATAACATAAATTTGTCCACAGGAATTGGACACCTTTTTGAAATAAACATGGGAACACCTTAAACTCCCTATTGTGAGAAACCAATATATTAAATAACGAATGTTTTATCATGCTTATATGAACTGAAACATTGATTAAATAACTTACTCTCTTTACAGAATGTCGTCAAAACATAATACCAACTTCCCAATGAAGGTTCAATTCCCAAATCCTTGAACTCTCTCAACACTTTCAACACCATTTCCTTGGTGGTTTTACCACTGCCCATGGTACTTAATGAATATAGAATAGAATTCAGAGTACCCAAATTCGGTTTGATGCCAGCTTTGCTCATATCAGTCAATAAAGTTGCGATTAACGTCCACCTCATATCGTAACTTTCTTTGAGGAAGTTTGTCACTCTTATTATAGAGTTGAACGTCTCAGTGGATAGTACTAGGCCTTTCTGCCGTGCTTCCTCAAATAATTGCCAAGCTCTATCGACTTGATAATACCTTGTCATCCCTGTTATGATGGCGGAATAAGCTTCAGGTGTTGGGTTTTCAATACTAATAAATAATTCTTCAGCAAAACTCCCATCCCTGAAACCAACAATGAAATATAAAAGAAACACAGCAGATGATTAGAAAACTATGCAGTGGGGAAGTTCTAGCCCCCTAATTTTGAGAGGGATCAGACTCCAAGACATTGGGAACATGAAATTTAGGTGCAATTAGGCGCGTAGATATCATTTCACCAAGGGGGTACATAATAACAGACATACCTACGGACAACCAGAAAATAATTGAGGGGATCAGGAAAGACGGAGAGAAGTTAAATCATATGTATTCAAATGTCTACTACCAGGATTCAGAGAACTATATATGTCTGGAAAAGCATCTCCCTTAACTAGGAGTGGGGCAAAAAATTGCTCAAGTAACCAGCAGTGATTATGAATACCTAATTATTTTGTTGGTTAATGGAAGACTTGCACATAATTTGATATAATATCTGATTATTTCACCTAAATTCATTGAAGAAGAGAGGTAATAGAGAGAACATTGTGATATTGGACTATTTAGGTTCAATTTTGTTGATATTCAAGTGAAATGTCTCTTCCAGAGAGTTGGGAAATAAAATGACAACAGAATCAAAAATAGATATTCAAATTGAAATTTCATAATACATTTCAGATTCTTTCACACATAACTATAAATCTAACAATCATAAAACACCTTCTATGTTGAGAGTCAACTTTTTGAATATATGCCTATATATAAATCATACGAGTGGAAATTAGCATTCCGTACGAGTTATACACTATACTTTTTCTACGGCTTCAACAGATAACAGCAGAAAATTTTATTTCTTCGGCTTGTGGCCATCTGATTTTCTGGAAATTAGCATTCCGTACGAGTTATGCACTATACTTTTTCTACGGCTTCAACAGATAACAGCAAAAAAAATTATTTCTTCGGCTTGTGGCCATCTGATTTTCTTTCAAGTAATGCTCATCTATTAGACAGAGCTGTCACTGCTTGAAAATTTGCATTTCATGGGAGATGAGATTTTGTGAAATAATAACACAATGAAGTCATTGTGATATCAGATACCGCCTTCTCTATGAGACTCCATAGGCTAGCTTTCAGATCTCCTGTGTATCTCTGGGCTCCTGGTTTTTCCTCACCCAGCGTAAGGAACCTTAGTCTTGACAAGCCTTCACAGTGGCAAAGTATGGGTACTGCTGTTTCTTACTCTTCTTGACAGAACCTGCAAAGCAGTTCTTCAGTCAGACTTTTCGTACTCATGTGTTTGTTGAGCCTACAATGCCCTGTGAGAAGTCCCACTAGTATTCTAGTTGAACTTCGTTTCTGGCTTAGTAGATATTCTGTGAATATTGGCGATGGTTTTTTAATGAACTCTTTTGCCTGTCTCATTCCTGGCGAGTTGTTCCACCATTCTTGAGATTTGGTTTGCATCCATGATTTGATACTAGTCTTTTGTATAGCTTTCGCAATACTACAGAAGGGTTCTGGGCCATTAAGAGCTTTGTTTGCTCCTGCTCGGGCAAGTGAGTCTGCCTCTTCATTGCCCTCGTACCCTGTATGTGCTGGTACCCATGCTAGAGTCAATCTGTTCTGACTGCCCAGTGCATTTAGGGTTTCTAAGCAGTCCCATACTAGTTTTGAGTTAACTTGCATAGAGTTGACTGCTTTGATTGCCGCCTGGCTATCTGAATAGATTGCAATGGTTTTGCCTTTAAACTCTTGCCTTATCAATTCTTTCACGCAATGATGTATTGCAATAATTTCTGCCTGAAACACCGTCGCGTATTTGCCTAAGCTCAGTGAGATTCTTGTCTTTGGCTTGGCCCCATAAATACCAGCTCCTGATCCTTCCTCAGTTTTGGAGCCGTCCGTATAAACAGCAATGTCTGCATTGATAGGAGGTCCTTCCTTCCATGCCTCTCTGTCCGTTTTACTTATTTTGAAAGTTTTTTCAAAGCTATATTTCGGAATTATGCCATCCGTTGGCATCCCCATGATGGGGTCGCTTTTCAACTCTTCATATAGCTTCCTATAGCCTTTACCGTGCGCGTTGCTTATGGGTGCTTGACCCCTTGACAATCTACTCACGACTGCTCTGGCTTCGCCATTATTATATATTTGCAGTGGTGGTAGGTTCAAGAGGACCTCTAAAGCGGCTGTTGGAGTGGCACCAGTGGCACTCAGGCACGCTTGCCTTCGAATAGCATGAGCCTTCGAATCACTCCAGCCTGTTGTGTCTTTGGCCACCAAACTACTGACCCATATGCTATCATAGGCCTGATGACGCTGGCATAGAGCCATGTGGTCATTTTTGGTTGCAGTCCCCAATTTTTTCCGCACATTCGTCTGCACAGATTGAAGGCTACTGTACTTTTTTGAACAATTTTTTGTAGGTGTTGATTCCATGTTAACTTATGGTCAAAGATGACTCCTAAGTATTTTGCCTCTACGATTGATACAATATTATAAAGATGAACAGTGATTTTAATCTAAGAATACAGTCCATAGACAACAGAATTCATGAAGTATTTCACGTTTCTTTCCAGAAAGAAGAAAATATTACAAAGTTCAGTTTTTGTGCACTTATGTGGAATGTTGTTTTTATATAATAGGGTGGAAGAGTGATGAAATGGATGCTGCAAAATCAGATAACTGTCTGATCATGTTCACGAATATATTAAACATATATTTCAAGAAGATATAGTCAGTCAAAAATCTTTTTCTTAGCTCCAACTTGAAATTTCAAATTATTTCAATAAGAGGATGGAATAGGGGTGAAATGGATGCTACAAATTCAGACAACGATCGGATCGTGTCCAGGAAAGTATTTACAAACACCTATTTCAAGAAAAAGTCATTCATAAGTTCTCTTCATGAGCTCCAACATTGAATTTAAATTATTTCAGTGTTCTAACTGGTGCAAGAACTCCATTATTGTTTCGTTTCCAACCCGAGTCCCAACCCCATTCTGTAGGTCTCTTCTCCTTACCACGCAAGAACGCAAGAGCTGAACCTGATGGTATGTTCGCAACGAATGTTGCCGTGCTGCTGCTTCATTTGGTGTTAAAGAGTTTTGCTCAATTCTTTTGTTACTGATCACAGAAAACATTTGTATCGGTAGACGTTCAAATACTTTTCCATCGAATCGGCTCCGTATATGAATAGTGAAAAACGTTTTCCTGCATCGACTATGGCATCCTTCCTAGTTAGATTCGCCAGCGTTCGCCAGACACATATCCTAAAAAATATGGGAACTAACCATCATTTCAACATTCGGATACTCTCGATATCCTAAACCTAACTAATTTATCTGTCCGTCGCTTTAGGCTAGATAGTACTGCTATGAACTTCCGAACAGGATTAACTTCAATACTCCCTCATATTTCACTAGAAACACAGAATTATTTGTTATAAATACTCATAGAACCCACTATGGGTTCTTCAGCCCTTTTTCACGCATTTTGCGTACTTTCAATGCCTTTAACATTGACTAAAAATAGAATTTGTAAAATTGATCCTAGGTTAATCCATCACCATCAATTTAGTTGATACTTTTCTTTATTTTATAGTTTCAACAACAAATTGTAGTGTTTACAAAAAGTTAATTTTTTTTTATTGTTGAATTTCATTTGAAAATGCTGTGATGTTATTGTCCTTAATTATGCCATCTTTATCTTCCCCAACGATTGTGGCGGTTTCAAATGAAGATGCCCGTTCAATTGCTGTGTTGATTATCAATAAGTCTGCATCCTCAAAAGCCTGTGTGAAAGTGATAGATGAATCTTCAAATTGCTTTTTCAGCATTGAAATAAATCTTTCATTGTTAGAAGATGATAATGCAGATAAAGATGCCATAGTTGGAGCAAGAGAATGTTTTCTCCTATCCTTATACGGAGCTGATTCGATGAAAAGTTTTCTTTTTGTGTTCATAAGAAAAAACTGGAGCAGCAGCACAGCAACATTCGTTACGAACATACCATCAGGTTCAGCTCTGGCATGGTAAGGAGAAAATAACTACAGAATGGGGTTGGGAACGAAACAATAATGGAGTTCTTGCACAGGTTACAACACTGAGCGACACTGCCCCAAAAAAATTGTTGAAGTGTATTTCGGGGCAATGTGAAGAAGCCTGTGGATTGGATTGTGGTTGCAGGAAGGCAGTTCTGAAATGTTCCACCATTTGCGGATGCGTCAACGGTTTCTCCTGCTTTATTATAGCTCTGTTATGAGACTGATGAAGAAGAAGACATTATTTAGATCAACATTGAGACAATTATACGAGATGGTAATCAAGATATACAACTACTATCATTGTATGATGAAAGTGATATCCCAGATGATGAACTCAGCAAACCTGGTCCATCAAGATTTTTATTTGGCAACTCATTTAGTGGAATAGTCCTACTGGGGAAACCACGCCAGAGAGGATTTTCAGTTATATATTCCATAATATTAGTTTGGAGTCAATGAAAGTTGAAAACAACTGAATTTTATGTAAGCAGTAGAAGCATAATATGTACTTATCTTATTATCATGCATAATCTATAAGTTACACAAAAAATACATTGAATATGAATTATAGAAAATTTCATTTTCTTCATTATTGCATGGATTACTATTTTTCCCAAAATGGACCAGTACTGAGTTATTTTGAGAAAACCAGATTTTGGTACACATTTGGAAATGTATGAAGTTTCCTGGTGGATTTCAAGGTCGCAAAATGGATGTGTCATTAACAACCCCTAGCACTATTCAACGCCCCAGAAATCAAAACACCATGAATTATTTACAGGTAACACTTCCTGACCACTGGACTATATTATGTTTTGTGTTTATTTCAGTTGAGTCAAGTAAACTCCAACTTTGGAAGTTAATTCTTATGACAATGTAGGATGTGGAAATATTTTCATTGGTTGTTGAGCATTAAAGCACTAATAGTGCTTTTTGAGAGATGATTCTTTTAATTGAAAAAAAAATCCTGATGATTTTAAATAATGAATAACTGTATCAAATAATAAATAATAATGAATAAATTCAACTAGTGTGTACAAAACTATTGGATCCCAGAATACTGGTGATAATTTTTACCTGCAAAAATGGTGACAACCGGGTCACATATATTCAGCTGACAATGCTGGCATATTATCTTTCAACAACAATACCACCAACTAGGGTAGAATCTGAAAGAGCATTTTCTGCAGCTGGTACCATTTGCACAAGAATCAGATCCAGACTTACACATAATATCCATAATGATATGATTTTTTACGCCACTGCTTCAATCAACACTGTCAGCTCAACTGTCAGTTATATATATGATCGGCCTTTTTCTCTTTACTACATAGAATAGAATACATTGTTGTGTTCATATAGAAGTATTAATGTATTCATCATGTATTTACAATATACATACTGGATACTTTTTTCAAATTATAATTCTGAAATCCTAGGATTTAATATCCCAGGTATGTATTATTACTCCAGGATTGCCAACCCTAGAATGGACCAGATGAATGCTAAAAAGTCAGACATCTATCTGATTGTGTTTATTAAAGTGTTGTTCATTCATTTAAGTAAAATTGATCATTAAATTCATAGTACTTCCACTCCATGATGTGAGCAGTTCTGTGAATAAACAATTTTCTGGACATGGTTCTGATATAGCCAAGTATATCTTAACATCAGGAATGAGAAACCATGTTTTTTGCAAGAATCAAAGAACAATAAACTTGATAGCCAGATTATAATTGTAAAGGAAATAAAATTCAAATTTCAGAGTGGGTCTGTTAACTTGAAGGGAGCAAGGAAGGGAGTTATGTTGACTAAAAGCTCATGCAGTGGCCGAACTACGGGGTAGCAAGTCGGCAAAATGCCACGGGACCCCAGCCGGAAGGGTCAGAGGAGAATCTGAAGTCCCCAACATTTATTATTACACATTCAGTGAAAAAATAGTTTTGTCTCCAACTTATTTGAGTTACCTATCTACTTTATTGCATACACAAGTAAAAAAACCATTAAAATTCCAATGCATTTGTAAAAGTTTCAGAAAGAATGGTCAAATCCAATTAATGATTTTGGAGATATGCTTAGACAAACATACACCACCAAAAATTTGAATAACACTGATTTATTGGAAAATACTTCAGCATTTGATGTTTAATCATATAAAAAAGATATTTCAAAAAGAAATTGAATATTCAATCCTCTTTTAGATGGGAAATAAAAACCTTCTATAAGTGAACTTGAAGATTTATCAATATTAAATAATCATTTTATATCTGCATTTGTGTTATTTCTCACTATTCCATGGCTATTGCCAAGGGATCATTCTCAAATCATAAATTGATAAAAACTTAATTGGGAAATTCTACAGGACAAGGGTAAGCAACTTGGCTCTTCAATCCATGAAAAGTCTATGGCCTGAAATTTGAACCCTGATGATGTCATCAACATTTTTCCTGAAGAGAAGGTCAGAAGAAGGAATTTTAATAATTAAAATTGTGTAGGTACTTGAACTACAAGAATTGTGATTTCAGTTGAATATTCACTTTAAATAAGGTACCTTCAATTTGAAGTTAATTATTAAAAAATCAAGTAAATCAAGTACTTATACTCAATTATGAAGTTTGTATTTATTGATATCATGAAGTGATGATTTGATAAACTCTTATGCCACTGAGCTCATGAGTTATTAATGGACCTAATTTGAATTTAATATGTGGAAAACCTTTAATGAGGTTTATACCTATAAGTGAAATGAAAATTTTGATCTGTACTGAAATAATTTAGGGCAAAAAACTTTAATCCAAAATAGTGAAGACATCAGTGTTTCACAAGGTGTTTCACCAGCTTTTAGGAACACTTCTCTTATGGTATAATAACATATTTCCCAGCTTATGTCTGCTTCCTTTGAAACTTTTATGAGTAGTGTTTTTTTTTATGGGAGATGGTTGAATATTCAATAGATTGTATTTAAATATTGTGCATTATCTGAGGAACAACTTAATGACAGATGCTGCTGCTGGAATCTGAATTATGAAAGTCTCTTTTGTTCTCTTGATTTTCTTGGAGATTTTCAAATATCATGACCCATTAATGACAAAGAAGACAATTAATCATCAATTTTACAGGATACACTTACTTCCATGTTTTTCTCTGTCTCTCTTTGGATTTAGAACTTTGTTGAAACCACCTTTCCTCAATAAACTCTTCAGGCAGTGCATCATCACAATTGAAATAGCAAAGCATATCTAGTAGATTTTGATGTGTAGTAGGAGATATTTCTACATTTTGATTTTTGAGTAACTTATAAATAAGCTGAGCATCATTTACTTGAGCATCAGCTATAGTTCTCTCAAGATCATCTTCAGTTACTTTGCTATCTTCATTATAGATTACTTTTGGTAAGAACATTTGTATAACAGGATCAGCTTCTCTATGGTTGAACAAATCAGAGTGTTCTAGTCTTATCCAGTGTGCTGCTTTTCTTCCAGCTTCTTGTGCCATGGCAAAAGTACGCTTGCCCACATTAGACATTGGTATGAGATATGGATCATCATGATATTTGTAATGAGCTGCTGTAGGGTCTCTCTTAATAGTGCTTTCAAGAGCACGAAGAATATCAGTGGGTGATCTTGGTATTCTTTTAGGGATTTCGATCTTTTCATTCAATGTATTTGAGCAAAACCGTTGACATCCTATGACTTTGGCTGTGTTTTTGGAGTGCAATTGTGACCTATGATGTGAATAATGAATGGATTAGTGAATGTATAACTCAAAATGTAACATGATTAAAGAATTCTTACCTCCTTAGAAATATTGTTGTGATATTCATTATTTTATACCAACTACGAAATGTTTTGAAACTTTTTATTAGTTAAAAACCTCAATTCAAATAATATAAACTTTCAGAATCAAAAACCTAACCTATCTTCCTTCAACAAAATTCTTCTTCCTGTTCTTCGTTCTTCTTCCTTTCTGTGGCCTTCGTATTTACACCAGCCATAATCGCAGCATAATCAAGCAGTGTTGCCAGCTGCTGAACATGAAACACTAGGTTTTTGACATTTGTTGTTTTTTAGGTTTTATTGAGGTCATTGGCGTATCATACGTAATTTCCATATGGAATTCCTGATTCAACTATACCAAGATACAATCCTCTAGTTTTAGAATTTACTACTCCAGTATAATCTTCGCGAGGTAGGGAACATATAAATTGTACTGAAAGCCTAATATATTTCACCAAAAGAGACTGTTCTTAGACTGTATACCAGGGTTGACTGAATTCCCTGAATGAATATCTGATTTCAAACTGAGCAGTACTTTATCTATGAGCTGAATGCGTGACAACCTCGATGTGGGTATCTAAACTACTGTACTCATGTCATGTGTGCTAAATATATTTTCGGAAATCCAATTCGGAGAAGAACTTATGGAGTGACTAATTTCACACTATGTATGAAACTCATTCAATCGTAATAGTATATTATGTAACAAGTGTTATGAACGTCCTTTTAGTAACGAGTGTTTATTAAACGAGTGTCTCTAGAAGAGTTTATAAACGCGTTACATACTATGCTTTCTCTGCGAACTCCGAAAATTACATTAACATACCAAGCAACCAAAAATGACACAAGAAGAAGAAGTTTTTTACCAGCTCTACCAACTCTGACCTCACGTTTCAGTAGCGCGATCTGTATATTAAGGGTATATGTTCATGCTTGTACGAATTCCGCAAAATTTATGCGAATAAAATGGCGACTGCTGCGAATATCGCAATGAAGTTGAAATATTTGAACTATTTTGCGAATTCGGATGGAATCATAACCACATAAAATGTATTGTTATTTTGATAACATCAAAATTGGGGAATTAGAGAGCGGACTGCAGAGGTCGAAAAAAGACGAGACTAGACACTAGACTACAGGGTAAGTACAGAATTATAATTAAAAATTTCATCATTCCTTCATTTGATTGAATTTTCTTCGCAGAGGATGGATTCTCTGGACGAATTAATTTTAAAGTATCATCTGTATCGTCTCTATATTGAACTAATAATGTATCCAGAAGCATAAAAAGGAGCTGTACTGTTCGAAACATTTTTAAATGCCGAAAAATGAATGGAGATTGGTACAGACTCATTCGATAAATGCGACTGAATGACCCTAATAAATATTTTTACTTTCGTGTAACGTGCCTTCAATTTGATGAACTTTTATCAATGGTGGGATCAGAAATGAAGAAATTAATATCACAACAGAACCCTTATTATCTCCTGCATATTTTGTCGCATGAGTATGAACGTCAAATTCTGTCGGAAATTTCATATTTTGCGATTCGCATAAATTTTGCGGAATTCGTACAAGCATGAACATACCATTAGGTCAAAGTGGTCTAATTGATTTTCATATGAAAAATCAATAAAATACTTTTTTCTGGGACAGAAAAAAAATTTGCAGTTGCATCTCTGTTGGCTGGTAATAAAATGTCACTTTTCATGAATTACTATTTTCAAGTGGGAAACAATAAGTGAGTACTTTTTTCCCGGATATTCATCAACAGTGTATAGTTGATTGCTCTTGTGCTATAGTTCCGAAAAATAAGCCAATGACACCGTCTCCGAGAAAGAACTGGCAAGTCATTTTATCTTCCATTCGACTTCAGAGTTACGTAAATTACCAAACATCCACTGATTTTGCAATTTTTCAAAATCAAATCACAGAATTGAACTGACAAATATTGGATTACTTCAAAAGAACGATGAAGGTGTTTGCAGAAAGATGCCTGCAACGCAGGTGTCATTCCTTTCAAAAACTCCAAATATCACGTCGATAAATTTCTGATTTTAATATAACGTAATATATCTTCTCAATATTGATTCGTCATTTCTCCTCTCACAGAAAAAATAGTGTATCATACACGGGATAAATATTAAATTTCAGCTCACGGTTTTTTGTCACAGAACCTGGGGCTAAAATCTACCACTTTTTTTCCTTGTATAATGAATAACTAATTATTCTCCACCAAACCGCACCACAGAAACGTGATGTCAGGGTTGGTAGAACTGATTAATATACTTCTTATTTTCGTGTCATTTGGCCTCTTGCTATAGAATGTTATATCTTGAGCATGTTCCGATATTTCCGAATAGTATACAGCCCAGTATATTTTATCGTTCCAATTTTACTGAAATTTACTGGCAACGTTAAGAGGCTGAAAGTTTACTGTTGGCCACTGGTGCAGAAATGGTGATGTAGTGCCAGTATTCATGAAATGTTAGGTTAGGCGTTCGAATGATTAGGTATGAGTCGATAAAAATTATATATCATTATTTTACAATACTTCGGGAAGATGTATGAATTCGAACTGGAAGATCTCACAGAGGCAGTAGACGCTGAAACTGTCACTAATCTACGGGCTGGTTCGTTGTGAGATATGTTTATTCCTACTTTTGATATCAAATATTTCACCAGCACAGATCACAGCCATCACAGCTAGAGAGCTTGCTGTTTCTGATGAATCAGAATCACTATATTAGCGTCTGCGGGACGACCGCAAGTAATAACTCCGTGGTGGGAGAACGTTATAGTGGGCAGTAGATGCGACTGGCGTTATGCGGCGCCGACTGAATGACTTCATCATACTTCGTCTCGTAAGCAACTACTGGTTGGCTCACAGGCTCAGTAAGCAGAGCATCGGCATGCCAAGCCGGCGGGCCGGGGTTCGAATCCGTGCGAGGCTCATCTTGTTTTATTTTTTTCTTGTTTTCAAGTGATTTCTAAAAAATATTCTCTATGGGAAATAGGTTCATTTAGGGGTTTTTTATGTTTAGGCCAGAGGTGAGGTTCGGTTAGGTTAGGTTAGAATAGAATAGAATATTTTATTTGGTGTTAATAAACATTAAGTTTTACACAGGTCAACGAAACAAGTACAGATATACTCATAAATAGTATATGTACCGCCGAAGCGAGTACATATACTAAAAATGTGGAATGCTTCACGATTTTGCGTGTCATCCTTGCGCAGGGGCCATGCTAATCTTCTCTGTATCGTTCCAATTATTAGTATATGTACCGCCTTCTCATTTTTTATGCAGAAACAATATTTTCCTTCCTCAAGAAAAATTCTCCTTCTTCAAGAAAAAAGGTTCATCTAGGTCGATTGATTATTAAAAAAAAATTCCTTCCTTATATTAGACTCGACACAAGTTAACTAACGTTCCCCCACCACGGAGTTATTACTTGCACCTGTCCGCAGACGCTAGTAATCACTATCACATAATCTGTCTTATGAGATAATATTATAAATCACTCTATACATAATTTCAACGTAAGTAAAGAAGATAATAATATAAGAATGATGAAAATAAGAACCAACAAAAGAAAACCACCGAAAATCGAAATATCATAGGTTATGGTTAGGTTTTGCTGCCAGTTTACCAGCACTGCCAAAATCATTCCGAAATTAAATGAAAATTCAAAGCTACTGCTACAATAAGTCGCGTGCACAACCTCATTCTTCTGTGAATTATTGAAACACAACCTCACTTTTTTATTTGGTTACAGAGGAATCAAAGGAATGAAATAGTTTTTCACAATATTTTGGCATACGAATCGTGGTTTTTGCGCTATTCATTAATTCGAGCATGCCTTCGCTTTGTGCTGTTGTACAATGCACAAAAAATGCAGCAAGAGACTAAAGTATATGATTTTTCAGGTAAATAGTAATCTCACATAGTTATCATTATGAAATGTGTTGTCATTCCTTATCAAAATTCCTTCTGCCTTCTGCCACTTCTGCAATACAAGCTAATACTGCTAATTGATTGAAAATGTCTACAACACACACGATCGTCAGCATGTCAGACCAGTCCTCCTGATTGATTGCAATTATTTTAGACAGGTGTATTTCTATTAGCTCCTATCGCAGAAGGAATTCCGATGAGAAATCAGAGAAATTACCAAATTTCAAAAATGAAAACTATATGTGAGTGACTATAGTAGGTACTTACTTTTGAATCATGATGTACCAACCGGATAACTTCGTCTTCCGCTGTAGTTTTTGTGCATTTCACAACAGCATAATGTGATGGCATGAGCGAATTGATGAATAGCGAAAAAATACGATTCGTATGCCAAAATAATTGTGAAAAACTATTTCGATCACTTGTAAACAAATAAGAAAAGTGACGTTGTGTTTCAATGTTTTGCCTCCAGCGTCGGTCATCTGACAGTTCTTGCACGCAACCCATTAAGTGTTCCTAAATTGCTTACTGTGGCCAGTAATGTCAGCAATATCGGAACATGACCGGTATCACATGTTAGAGTTTTGTTGCAGTTTTCTTCCCGGGCCTGCTCTGAAGGACTCTTAGATCATGATCTATGATCTAAGGAAGGACTTTTCCTACTTTCCTAAAAATTTGGCGATTTTCTGGCGACTTTCTCAAGAAATTTTGGCGACGCCAATTTTTGAAACCTGGCAACACTGCCCTTGAAACCTTTTTCTTTTCTATTCTAGTGTAGTGCTAGGAGTGGTAGGTGCAAAGTGAAATGAAATAAAAAGAGTTGAACATTCAATTATTTCAACAGAATTTAACCTATAAGAAAAATATAAATATTTTGCATATATTTTGATGAAATGAAAATGCAAAATAGAGATTTTCGGAGAATATAAAAAAGATATGGGTATTAACTACTCAAATATTAGTTCGTTTATTTTCTAATGATATATGTTACAGATTCATTGAATGATGCTAAAAGAGATTTGGAGGCATATCTATCAGAAGAGCAGAAGAGAGATTATTTTGCTTTACTACGCCAGTGGTTCATGTTCAGTGCTCCTTTGACCAAAGAGGCATTTGACCAAGGTGTTCGAAAATTCCTAACCACTGAAGAACAAATTAGAAGTCATAATTATTTTCTATTAAGCATATTGTCAAAAATAAGCTCAAATAACCTACCAAAAACCACAAGAACCAGTAGTAATGATAGAGGTATATTTGAAATAGCTGACTATGCTGATTATGTGCAACCATCAAGCCCAAACATGGTGCCAACTTCAGATTTTGAAAATCGAAGTGCAGCCTCTGAGCTGTTTCTCCCTGACACTGGATTTATGGCATGTAAAATAGCACTAATATGTTGGAAGAACAAAATGGAAGGAGCTGAAGATAACGTTACAGATTTAATGGTCCATGCATGCCAAGTATTCATCAAAAATATAATAACAGCAATGATCACTAAAAAAAAAGGATATAAAGTAAGGGATCAGAAACTCCAATATGGTTTCAACCAGCCTATTCCTAATCCCTTCATTAGAAATTTCAATAATATAATTGATGATACCCAAGAGAGTAAAGTTGAAGTTGCAAATGATGATGATGCCTTGAAACCAAAGTGCAAAAGGTCTTTGGAAGATATGGAGCAACAAATTGCATTTTCATATTCTTGTACCAAGAGACTACCCTGTGATAATTATTTAACTGTTGGACTCTTGTATGAAACAATAAAAGAAGATCCTAAGGTATTAGGTTTGCATTCCATGCAAAGTATGAATCTGTTTAGATTGGGGTTACAGTTGACTGATGAAGATGATGTAAATTAGGTAGGTTTTTTAGTTTTTTATGATAATTTCATGTCTCCATCCACAAATCATATTGTTCAATTATAATGAAATATCTGATGCAATTATTAGGTAAAGTAGGTATTTTTCAAGACTGTGCTATCATCTAGTTGAATTGAATTGGATCAACCTACCATAACTGGAAAATATCCAACAATGAAAAGTACATACTTGAACTCTTTTTGGTTGTTTATTGAATCATAATTGGTTCCAATATACAGTCGCCAGCAAAAAATACTGGCCAGCAAAAAGTTTTGTCAATTGATCACCCTTTTTAATGCTCCTCTGATTCTGGTAAAATTTCAACCAAATCATAGATTTATTCTTGATTATTCCACTCTTGGTCTATAGAATCACTTCAAAATATGCTTTATTTGTTCTAAGAAGAGTAATCTAATTGACAAAGCATCAAATGTGTCATTAAAAAGAAATAATAAATTAATATGTTATATAAAAATACAATCCTTAATATACCTAGGTAGTTATTATAAATATAAAACTTGTGTGAAAATAAAAATAGAAATGAATAAATACAGAACAATATCACAAAGAAGTAGCTTAAACAGATTATATGACTCCACAGAAATATTCTATATTCTAATAGGGCCTAGTAGAAAGCAGCTGTTTTACAGTGTTCCTGAACTTTTTGTCACACTGGGTTAGCCTTGTGTTTATTGGTAGGTGGTTATACATTTTGAGACCTTAAAAAATCATAGAGTTCTTTGTCAAACCAATCAATCAGAATTGGCGATTTTCACGGTTTCTTCTGTATTATAGTGATATTTTTTTGTTAACTAAATTTCATCAGACTTGCTCTACTGATACAGAAGCTGAATTGTCCCAGGAGTGACCAACCTTTCTCGTTTTTCAGGGATAAAATTCACTTGTGATATTATTTTTACTGGAATAATTCGTCAATTGACATCTTAGTCCAGCTTGCTACTTCAATTTCGCTCATGACATTGTTCCAAAACTTCTCGCTTACGGCTCGAAAGTTCTGATGAACAATGTCATTCTGCCAAATCATTAGGCAACAAGCTGTCCTAACAATCGCCGGATATTTTCAGCAAAATAGTATCACTTGTGGTATTACATATGATTTTGAGATGAAATACAAGGTCGAGTACAGGGTGTACCATTTTAAAATCGAAAGTCGGAGTCATTTCCGGTCGAACTAGAAGTACCTCAAAGCACGTAGAGTTAGAGTTCCTCGATGCTGTGGGGGGATGCGATTGCAGATATCCCAGCGGGTACTGCACCTCCACAGTTCCAGTCTACACGACTGTGGCGAAGGCAGCTGTTGGTAACTGCTACCAACGAGTTTTCAAAGGAGTGGCTCACCAGGGAGTTGAAGAACATCAAACCCTGGAAAGACGCCACTCTTATTGTCATGGACCCAACAAGGCTCAAGCTACGCCGGGCAATGTTGTGGATCCCTGGCAAAAGGTTTCTGCCTAACCAGGAAATCCTCAAGAGACTGGGGAAGCAGAATCCAAGCCTCTCGGTATCTCCTTGGAGAATCTGGGAGAGGAAAGAGGAGAAGCAAGGACTTCGCCTCGTGGTGGGGATGGACGAAGAGTCTATCAGGCTTCTCAGCCTGATGAACTTCCAGCCCTACTACAGTGCGACACAGGCAACTGTGACCATCCTTGAAGGGCCCATGGCTCAACAAAGAGTGTCTAGGGGTACCGATCAAGGGACCTCTGGAACCCGGACCAGGCGAGCTGTGCCTGCTGCCTCGGCCCCCCAAACCGGAGGAACCTCACGAGGGATCTCTGAAACGGTGGCCGAGGAGGCGCGTACAGAAACGTCAGTCGTGGGTGAAAGAGGAACTGCTGAGGTCGGGGCTCCTACACCTGAAACTGGAGGATCGTCAGACGATACCTCCAGGAGCGACATGGTAGGAGGAACTCCCTCGAGGATCTCCTACCGGTCAGAGTCGCCTATGAGCGATGAGGTCCAACCAATGGACCTCGGAGTGGTGACTGAGGAACCCGAAGGGGGACCTCAGTCAGACCAATAACAGGAGGCCGAGCCGACGAAGGGGGGCGATGGAGCCAAGCTGCGGAGGAGCCACAACAAGTAAGTTGATTTATGTCTGTAAAAGTCCTACAAATTAATTTGCAACATGGGAAAGCCCCAACGGCCCTGGCATGCCGAAGGATCCGAGAGTGGGACATAGATATCCTACTAATACAGGAGCCTTGGACATACCAGGGCAAGATAAGAGGGCTAGGAATGGGCGGAGGAACGGCCCATTACTGTGCCTCTGTCGATACCAGCCCCCGGGCGTGTATTTATACAAAAGGCATGAAGGTCTTCCCTGTCCCAGGATTCTGTACCAGAGACCTGGTGGCGGTAGAGATCCTCATGCCGTTAAATGATCGCACCCAGGAGGTAGTAGTCTGCTCAGCGTATTTTCCGTACGAGACAGCTGCTCCGCCTCGGGAGATCGAATCGTTAGTACGATATTGCGAGGAATCTGGGAAGGGCCTTCTCATCGGCTGTGACTCGAATGCCCACCATATTCTGTGGGGCAGCCGGGACACGAACCCGAGGGGAAGTGCTCTGCTCGAATTCCTCACCACCAGTAATCTGGAAATCATAAATGAGGGCTCAGTACCTACTTTTTTCACGCCTAGGCGGCAATCTGTTATAGATCTTACTCTATGCACTCGAGATATGTTGACCCAGGTTCATTCATGGAAGGTGTCACAAGATGAATCTCTATCAGATCATCGACACATTCTGTTTACGCTGGGGGGTATAAGCGCTCCAGAAAAAGAAAAATATAGGAACCCTCGTGCCACCAAGTGGGACCTCTTTCGGGAGGAACTCAAAGGAAGGCTTGTGGGTCTGCCATCAAAGTACGGGAGTGAGGCCGAAATAGATACAGTGGTGTCGTATCTTAACAAGGCCATCACTTCCTCGTACGAAAACAGCTGTCCACTTAAAGACAGAGCTACCAATGCTAGAACGCCATGGTGGAATTCAGAAATAGAAAACCACCGCAGGCTCACAAGAAAGCTTCTAAACAAAGCGAAACGCACAAACGTACCGCAACACTGGGAAGAATATAAGTCTGCCCAGAGAGCGTACAAAAAAGCCATTCGGCAAGCACAAAGAGACAGTTGGCGTGCCTACTGCGGAGAAATAAACACAATTTCTTCTGCGGCAAGGATATGCAAAGTCTTCTCCAAAGAACCGGGAAGAGGAGTGGGCGTGCTGTCTCTGTCAGATGGTCGAGAAACCACAACGGCAGAGGAAACATTGCAGCACCTCATCTCCACACACTTTCCGGATTCAGAAATATCCAACGAACCACCTTTGAGGACGAGCCCAGTGAGAAGAACTCACATGGACTATCAAACGGCGTCAAAGGTGGTTACATACGAGAAGGTGAGATGGGCTGTAAAGACATTCGCACCATTTAAATCACCAGGGGAAGATGGAATATTTCCGGCCCTCCTACAAGAGGGACTGGACACCATCATTTCCCTGCTTATGAAGATATTTCGGTCCTGTCTGGCTCTGGGCCACATACCAGTGGAATGGAGATCGGTTAGGATCGTATTTATCCCGAAACCAGGGAAAACAGATTATTCCGATGCCAAAGCGTATAGACCCATCAGCCTCACGTCTTTCCTCATGAAAACACTGGAGAGGCTGATAGATCGATACATCAGAGATGTGCCACTGCAAATAAACCCGCTGCATGCACAACAATATGCCTATCAGACTGGGAAGTCCACAGATGCGGCTCTCCATCATCTTGTCCATAAGATAGATGGAGTGCTAGCTGGTGGACGCTCAGCCATGGGAGTCTTTCTAGACATAGAAGGAGCATTTGACAATACGTCATTTGAATCGATATGCCATGCCGCGGATAGACATGGGGTCCATCAAACCTTGACCAGGTGGATTAGGGCCATGCTATCGCAGCGAGTGGTAAAAGCAGAACTATGTGGGAGGTCGGTTGCTGCCAAGGTATCAAGAGGATGTCCTCAAGGAGGGGTTTTATCACCACTACTATGGTGCCTGGTAGTAGACGAGCTCCTCATAGATTTGAATAGGCCAGGGCTATATGCGCAAGCATATGCAGATGACTTGGTAATAATGGCCCAAAATCAATCGGCGAACCGGCTAGGGAATCCAATAATGGAAGCCCTCAATAAAGTGGAACAATGGTGTTCCACCAGTGGATTGAGAGTCAATCCAGAAAAGGCGAACTTGGTATTATTCACTAAGAAACGCAAAATAGGAACACTTCCTGAGATATTTCTCTCGGGAAAGTGTCTCCAATATAAAAGCTCATCAAAGTACCTTGGAGTTATAATAGACTCCAAGCTCACTTGGAATGAGCACATTGCAAACCGCACTAAGAAGGCTCTGTATGCTGCTTCTGGGCATGCAGACGAGCCTTTGGAAAAACATGGGGTCTCACACCCAAGACCCTTCACTGGATATACACGGCAGTAATACGCCCAACACTTACGTACGGGTCCATTGTATGGTGGACCAGTACCAATAAGGGCAAGACCAACAGAGAACTGGATAAAGTCCAGCGACTGGCCTGCCTGGGAATAACAGGTGCTTTGAGAACGACGCCTACCAGGGCTCTTGAAGTTCTGTTAGGTCTGCCGCCTCTACACCTGTTCATACAATACGAAGCCATGAGAACTGCTTACCGACTCAACGGTGCAAACCAGTGGGTCGGAACAGAAGCAGATCATGGACACTCCCTCATATGGAATAAGGCAAAGGAAAACTGTCCCATCCTCATGATGAGAAGGGATAATACCTTGCCAATTCTGAATTTCAACAAAGCCCCAAACACTGTCATCCCTACGAGGGAAGAATGGAATGACACAACACCTGGCGTGCCTCCTCCCAATGAGTCAATCTGGTACACGGATGGCTCAAGATCTGAGGGCGGTTCAGGTGCAGGGGTATACAATGAAGAAACAGGTAAAGAAATTTCAGTTCCTTTGGGCGAATATGCCTCAGTGTTCCAGGCAGAAGTACTTGCAATACTCACCTGCGTCCAAGAAAACCTAATTATGAGAGGTCGTAGACCAATCACTATATGCTCGGACAGCAAAGCTGCAATACTGGCTTTGCAATCCAATAGGATCACATCCAAATTGGTGTCCGAGTGCAGAAAAGCCTTGGAAA